ATGTTCCCTCAAGTTTCCTCTGACTTCTCAACTCCAGTGGTTCACTTCCTCTGATCCTTCTATCCTCTCCCCATCATTCTTTCTCTCTTTATCTCCCTGTCCCTCCACTTTCCTTTTCAGTTTATAGTATTAGACCTTTACAATAAATGTTCCAAAAATTCTCTTCTTTCTCATTATATTCCAACATAAACTGATCATTGATCCATTTAAAGAAAAGGAGATGTTTTCACATCTAACCAAATTGAATACATTAGATTCTACCCTCTTTGCCTATATTGCTTAGAGAAAAGAGAAAGTGTTTAGTTTTTTAGAGATCCCAGACTTTTAAAAGGTGTTCGTGAGGTCACTCTGCCCTCAGAGCACAATGGCTCTGAGGCCAAAGTCAGAGCACAATGGCCCCACTGAGCAAACAACTCCTTGGTGCTGCAATTCACTTAAATCAGTCCCACTGCTAAACATGCAGCACGTATGTCTGAGGAGGTTGTAGGATCAACCAGGGTGGCAAATGAAGAAAAGAATGATAGTGCCAACATCTCAACTTAAGTCTTCTTAACATCAGTTTTACAAAATATCTGAGTGAAGGGGTTTCAGAATCCAATTCTGTTTTTCAGTTATTAAAGAATTATTAAGAAGGGCTTAGACTTCCGGAGGAAAGCTTTAAAAGTGACACAAGCTTCTTAAAACACAGCCCAAGACTTTGGAGGGTTGGAAAAGGAGGGATATGCCAATGTATTTTTAGCAATGTCACTGCTATGATTAGGAGTGGCCTTTAATCTTTTCTTCCAACTTTCAAGGCGCTGCTAGGCTTCAGTGATCTACAGCTTCTGTGAACTGGTGCTCCTTTCATAGTGCTTCCCTTTTGGCCCCATTGAGAACAGCATTTGTGTAAAGAAATATAGTCCTTCCACCCCGGTAATAGGCACAGTGCAATGACCCAGTCTGTGAGATAAGAGCACAAATGTTGCAGATTCATAAATGGACGTTTTTCATAAAGCTGATAGTCAGTTGCACAGAAAGGGCCAACGGGGATTCTCCATTTTCACTGACTAGGGAATTATTTCCTAAGGTTATAAACTAAATGTAGAGCTTCTCCAAGACTAGCTTGAGAAAATACTGCTAATCTTTTTATCCTGAGACTGAAGGTCTTGAGAGGCAGGGAAAGAGAGGGATCATAAACAAAAGTTTATCAGAGTCCTGACCAACAGGACGTTCTAAAAGCCAAGATGATCAACAAAAAGAATGCATCTTTACCGAGATATAATGATGACAGAAATTGAGGAATCTATGCAAGGAGCTTCCTGACCTGATCAGAACAGAGGGCCTGTTATATACTAGGGTTCCATAAATATTTGTTAAAGAATGAATGGATGGATTAATTATAGCATTGGCCTAAGCTTTTCCCCCATTTAACATGACCTTTCATTTACTGCAACAACATATATGTTTGCAGGAGGATATGATTTCCTTTCTTGATTTCACATTTAACGAGTAGAAATGCCTCCTAAACATCAAATCTTGGAAAGTTCCCCTACACACAAGGAACTCTACATAGAGTTACCCTCAACTTTTCCAATTATCTCTTCCAATACCTTCACCAAATTCTAAGGGGGCCCTGAAACTCCCTAAAACTGCCTTGGGATGGTGCAATGCATGTGATTAACAGTAGTTTTCATAGTTCTTTGGACGATCCCTTACCTCACCTTTATACTATCCCCTTACCTCACCTTTATACTATATTGATGATGATTAAGGTCACCACTGCTGAAAGACTAGTGAGAATTCCCAGTTTGGGAAGCTATTCTTAAATAGTGTTTGTGCTACTCAATATGGGTGGCCTTAAAAAATACCATATATTGGGTAACTTAAAATATAGAAATACATTTTCTCACAATTCTGGGGCCTGGAAGTCCCAGCTCAAAATCAGAAGGGTTAAGTTCCTGTGAGAGCTCTCTTCCTGATCTGCAGAGGCTACCTTCTGCCTGGGGAAGAGGAAGAGAGAGCTCTCTGTTGCCTCTTCTTGTAAAGAAACTAAGCTTACTGGATCAGAGTCCTTTATGGCCTTATTTATCTTTAGTTACTTCCAGGAAGGTCTTATCTTCTGCAGTCAAATTGAGGGTCAGAACTTTAGCACCAAATTTTGGAGAGCATAATTCTGTGCATAGCTATGTTTTTTCACCTTAACAAAAAAGTCTGAGTATAATTCTGCCTGAAAATAAAGGAATGGAATGGATGACATCACAATATACCTATTCAGTGGCAATTGTTTGTGGCTTCTCTAAACCATCTATGCTTCCCTTCCTCTTATTTTGCCTCTCTTTTTTCTTCCTTCTGTTGTCACCATTAAGCTCACTAATTTTCAAAGACAGAACATTAAAACAAAAAAATAAAAAATGAAACCCCCGCCATGTATACATTGCAAAAATTATGTCTGACACTATTTGCAACCTCCCTTTGTTCCTGTTATATTCCGTCCTTTTGTGGCTTCTAATTGTACTGTCAACCTTTGGACCATCTTCCAGAATTCCAGATCTGCACTCTTCTCCTTGAGTGACCTCCTTCTCTGATTCCTGGTGTGTACTCAGCCCTACCAAGCCCTACAACCTGCCCCTTTGCTAAATGAGCAGACATTCCAGGAGGCACAGTACCTCTTCCATTGGGAAATCACTGTGTGAGAGGGGTTGTGTAGAAAGTAGGTGTTCAATAAACGTTTATAATAGAAATGACACATCTGTTAGACTGACATAATGGTCATTTTCAGAGAATATTGGGGAAGATATATAGACAGCTAACCCTTATTTGGTGCATTCTCTTTAATCTGATGAGAGCTGTTTAAATATCAGAAGATCTAATGTTGATTCCCTGTTATGTCCTTTCCTACCCAGAGCAAAGAACCTTCCCGGTGGTTTAATTTCCATAACTTTAAAAGAAAGGTATATCAATGCCTAGCTTAAACCAATATTAAGAGGATTATTACATGAGCTAATGTGTCTGAATTCATCAGTGCTGAGCTGAATATAAAATAGTTCTCAGTAAATATTATTTTGAGCCTGAGTAATGTTACTACATGAGTGTGTGTGTGGGGGGGGGGGGTTTCCTGGACTATTTACTATCGTTCAGGTAAATTGTGCTTGATGAAAATACACTGATAAAAATTAAATTATGGTTTCTTCCCTATAAATTATAGCATAGCCAGCTTTTCTTAAAATTATTATTTTAAAGGGCTTTTGGAGACCATAGTGATTTTCTCTTCTTTTTTTAAAGAATGGCTTAGTGAAAAAAATGTTAATTTTTTCAACACAAGTTTTAATTCAAAAGACAGTGTTTAGGAACCAAATAATAAGGAAATCAAACTATTATGCAATTTGGTACTTTTGAAAATTATCAAACTTAGTTTAATCAGACCTGGTTTCAGTCTCCTAAATAGGAGTAGAAAATTATTTCAAATAAATTTATAAGTCTTAATTTTTATTACTCTTATCAGAAATCTTCAAGATCATGTTATTGGCTCTAGCATTACAGGGACATTTGTCAGTTTGGCATCAGTAGTCCTGATTAAAAACTATTAAAACTATTAAAACACTACATAATAGAAACTATTGGAAACAACTAATACAGTGCTTTATAGAAAATTCTTTAAGAATGTATTAAAAAAGAATGTCTTAAATAAGTATATTAATAACCAAAAAAAGACTGAAAAATTAATTACACATACTACAAATAAGTCAGGAATAACAAAAATAATATACCAAAACAGAAACAAAAATTAATTAAAATAAAACCAAAAATTAATAAATTAGGAAACAATAAATGGAAGACCTAGTACATAATTAAATGGTATTTTGGCAAAAGCAAACAATGAAATTAATATACCTCTAACTCACCTAAATAAGCAACAGAAACACAATTATTCAAAAGAAGAAATAACCTCAGCTATAGAAGTTAAAATGATCTAAAGAGAAAATTTTGTTCATTTTTATGCAAATAAATTTGAAAACCCAGACACACTAAAAATGTAAGAAACTAAAGTGTAAAGTAGATGAGATAGTATATCCAAACAGACCAGTTACCATAAAAAAAATACAGGTAATGTCAAAGAACCACAACTCTAAGAGATACTAGCCCCAGCTGGTTTTACAGAGGAATATGACCACAGACCTGAGAAGACACATCTGATGTAATTGAAACTGACCAAAAGCACATTAAAATAGAAGGAAATCATCCAAATCTTTCTATAAAGACAAATTTATATTGATAAAAATAATAACAAAATATCAAAAAGCACATACAAAATATAGGCTAATTTCACTTATTAATGTCAAAGTTAAAATCTTAAATAGAATATAAGATAAAAAGTATAAGTAATATGTTTGGGGGGCCTCCCTGGTGGCACAAGCGGTTAAGTCTCAGCACTATGAAGCTATCCCCAGCCACTGCAGCACAAGTTGGATCCCTGGCCAGGGAGGTGACCCACATGGCGCAGCAGACCTCTCCTGTCTCACCTGCTGCTCCCCTCAGCAGTGTATTTTAGTAGATCCACCTGTTCTGCTCTCTACTCTGTCCCTGGTGAATCCTCTCACCTCCCCCCCATACACACACACAGCACCTCTGGCCTACACCCCAGTTCTTGTATGCAAAAATAAATAAAATAAATCTTTTTAAAAAAGTATAAGTAATATGTTCAAAAATGAAATTTACTATAGAAAGAATGATTTGACATTAGAAAACTGATGAACATAATTTACATTATTATATCAAGATAGAATAGATTATTATAAACAAGTGGAGACATGTCTTTTCTATTCATTACTATATTCCCTGTAATGGCAATATTCCCTGGGACACAGCAGATACTTATATGTTGAAAGAATCAACAAACAAATGAGAAAGCATCATATGATAATTAGATTCCAATAAGTACTAATAAAATTCACCATCGATTCCTGAAAAAAAAAATGTTTAAATGAAATAGAAATAAATATTTCCTAAAGTATAAAACTCACAGTATGTGTTTGTATCCAAAGAGACCATATATGCTCCAAACAGGAATGTTCAACCTGAGTCTGAACACAAAAAAAAAATACAATCAGATATTTTTTACCTCTCATAATTTCACCTAGCCTGATTAAATAAAAAAAAAGAAAAAGAAAACTTGATAAGGTCAAGTGTTGGCTACAGTTTGGAAAAACAGGCACCCCATTCTTTGTTAATGGTATAGAAAATTGACAGTATCAACAAAATAAAAGAAACGTTTCCATTGTCTTCATAATTTCATTTCTAGGAATTTATATCACAGTTACATTCCCACATGGATGAAATAATATATGTACAAAGATATTTATCACAGCTTGTTTGAAATAGCACAAGACAGAACATGACCTAAATGTGTTAAATAAATTCTAGTACTTCCAGACAATAAAAGATTCCACAGCCATTTAAATAGAAAGAAGCATTTTTGCTTTGTTGTGTTTTGTCCTGTTGTTATTTTCTTTACACTGATGTCTTATTTGGTTCCCCTATATTCCTGCTATAAGTGAAACCTACTGCAGGGGAGGAGGAGGGAGAGGGATCAGAGGGAGGGAGGGAGGAGCAATGGAGACTGAGGTGATGGTGCACGGGTGCATTGAGGAAGGAAATTCTATGGGGACTACACCTGAAGGGGTGGGGGGAAGCAAATATTGTTTAAAAACGAACAATGTTATAAAATAAAATATAATATAATTTAAAACAATACATTTTAAAAAAAGAAAGAAGCGACTGGATTGGCACTGACAAGTTAGCAGTCCCCAAGGTATGTTGCTAAATAATGAAAGCAAGATGAAGGACACCATGAGTAGTGTGCTGACATTTGTGTAAAACAGAAAGAAAAGGGAAGTGCATATTTGCACATGTGCAGGATACTCAGAGGAAACTATGGCAGGGAACCCTCAGGAGGGTCAGCTGTCTGACTGTAGCCTGTCTAACTGTCTAACCTTTTATAGCTTGTAGATTTTATATCACATCACATATTATTTTTAGAAATAAATAAAATAATGTTAAAATCCTTAACTTCATTTTTTTCCTTTAATGAGACTTTATTCTTTACAGCTAATTTAAAAATGTTCAATATTTGGGGGGGGGTGCGGAATCAGGGGACTATAGTGCCAAATAGAACTAGGCAAATGGTATTAGGAAGATCTGGCCAAAGACTAGAAATGTAAATGTTTCTCACTTTTCCTGCTCCCCATCCACACAACTATGCAAAAAATAATATTTACATGATTTTTGTGCATAACTATATAGCTGTAACTATAGGGAGGTTGCCCGCCTTTGCTAGCCTCAGTGCCTGCATTTTTATAATGAGATCATTGAACTAGATGCTCTCCAGGGTCACTCTTGCTCCAGAATTCTATGAAACATCACTCTGATCTTTCCCTAAGCTCCTTTTATTAACTTGCTTCAACATTAGCCCACAAATTAGGGATTACCAACTGCTAACTAATGCTTGGAACTTTCTCTTCACTTAAATAAAATGGTTCCCTGATCAACCTTTCTCCTAAAGCCAGGTTTATCAAAGGAATAGACTCTTATCTGCGTATCTCTTTTTAATTAGCAAGGTTTGTATTCATACACATCCCAAGTTACACCATTATCTTAACCCAGTGTTGCTTCTGGTTCAAACTACATTTAACCAAAACTTAAAACATGACAAACATTATGTCTAAACTGGCTATATTAAGTACTGTCCCATTATAGGATTTTTCAAAAGACAATAATGGGACAGTACTCAATATAGCCTGTTTAGACATAATGTTTGTCATGTTTCAAGGAAAGAATTATTCACTTGCTGTCAATGTACATAATTTGTGAGGTGACCTTTGTTCTCTAGTCTGAAAGGCACTGGGGCCCCGATGTGCTATCACCCCAACCCAGACCATCCCTCCCCAGAGAGGCTTCTGAAAAGCAGGCCTGTTTATCTAGGGCGGATTCAGCCAGCGGATGTGTTATCTAACTCTCATTGTTTCTGCTTGATTCTACCTTTTGGTAATTCCTAGTAAAGCACTGATGTCTTATTTTCTGTGTTAGTAACAAAGTGAGGGAGAGTTACTTAATCATCTGACCAAAATATGTTTTAGAGCAGAAAAGTACATCGATGTTTTTTTTGCAAAAAAGGATTATTGTACTTGGATTCAGACTTTCTTCAATGACTTGTTAGTTGTGATGTGGTGACATAACATGAATTTCTCAGGCTGTTAAAGTCTCCACTTTCTTATCCATAAGAGAAGAGTAATAACAGCTCCCTTGCAAAATGTTTGTAAAAATCATTTTAAAATGCACTGTTTTATGCATATATTTATACATAAAATAAATATACCTAAAATGTAGAGTATATAATTCACTCTACATGATAAATGGCATAAAGTTCCCCACCCCCACCCCATCCAAAACTAGAGAATTCCTATGTAACCTTTGAAAGTTGAAATGGCGCAAAGGGAAGAAGCAATATCCATTAATTAATATGGAAAATATTTTGAGCATCTGATTCCAAAAAATCACCTATGAAACCATACCAAATAGCACATAAGACCTAAAATCACAGTAACACATAGTAAAGCAGGAATGATATGATACATACGCAGCCTGGGTAAGGGATGTCAGGGAAGGAGCTTGGCGGGACTTGCTTGCTGGCGAGCGCTGCGTCCACAAGGCTGCAAAACAACGCTTAAGCCCGTTTCGCTTTTCGACTTTGTCGTAAAAGTGAAATTCCTCTTTGGATTTCTTTCTGTTCCGGAAAACAGGTACTGATGTAGGGTTTTTGTCAAAAGATGTGCAGCAGTGTGAATTTTCAAAAAGTGGGAAATACCTATATTATACAGTATATATTAATTTGGGAAATAAAATATAGACTTTCCTCAATACTAAACCACTCTGAACTTCAATTCCCACTTCAGTGAAATGGGCATATTAATAGGTCGTAAGGCACAGTGCTGTGAAAGACTAAATTAATAAACACACATAAAAACACTGTCTGGCAAACAGTAAGACTGGACAAACTAATTTACTGTCACTGTGTGGCAAAGCCCCCTTCCTGCGTCAGCACACAGTAAGAGGTAGGTATTAGGGTCGCTGTCCATGTCTTTAATGAGATCCAGAAGCACAGGTGTAGCTGTTGGTGGGATTTTAGAGGTGCTACAGGAATAGGGCCACGCCATGCTCCCAGGAGGAAATTGCATGGTTGCCAAAGGCAGGGGTTCAGGGAGAATTTCAGCAGCAGTCACTCCTCCTGCGCTGTCAAACCGAGTGATCCTAATGCCTAACTTGGTATTTTCAAAAATATGGCAGGAGCCTTCTTCTCAGAATAGGAGGCTGAAGGTATGGGACTGGAAGCGAGGACACTGCTACCTCGTCAATTTGATGACAGTTTATCCATTTTCATAACAAGTATAAAATACTAATATTCTCCCTAAATCTTGCCTCTGAGCCCCAATTTCCACATCTCTTGGGAACGGGTAGCTAGGTGAAAGGGGGGTGGGGAGATGGCAAATAGAGAATTTTAAAAACAGAGAATGGGGAAGGAGAGTATGGAAACCAGAGGTCACAGAAGATCTTTCTCCAGGCCGCAAGAAATAATTACATTGATCCTGGGGACATCCCCTGAAATTCCCTCCAGGAAAATTTCAAGCCACAGGATTGCCAAATACGCAGATCTGAAAAAAACAGAGCCGAGGGACATCCAGCCCCACATTAGAGTCCTGCGAGTTTCGGAACTGCGGCCCCAACAATTTTGAGGGCAAACAGCTCACTCCAGAGTATTGCTTTAGCCATAGCAGTGGGCATTCTGCTAAGAAAGAAAACGCCTGTGTATAGCAAGCCCACTGTGCCAAGACTGGGAAGATGAATAGCAGCAAGGGTGGACGGGGCCGCTGACCACATTGTTCCCAGTACACAACCCGGGACACTGGCCAGGAGCCCTTTATTGCCTGAGAGTTTTAGAGCGTGAGGGGGAAGCTTTTCAACTCAATTAGCATTTAATAGTCCTGATGCTCAATCGTAGGGATCAGCTGTGAAGTTACTGAAGCCATTACCAGGGGCTAGAAAAGCAGTTGAGTTTGAAATGTCAGAGCATTTCTCCTGACACCGCCTCCCCGCTCCTCACTCTTCCTCCCAGTCGGAGTTGGTGATATTTAGTCACATTTCACAAGGACAGGGAGCCTCCTTCAGTCAGGATCAGACACCTGGAAACACCCATGGGCTCAACTACAGCTTTGCTCTGTCCCTGGGAAAATAAGGCAGCATCAGAGGTCAGAGGGAGTTGGGGACCTGGAATTCAGACATAGGGGACTTCTGAAGCAGGTGTAAGTCCTTTCTCAGATGGCCTCCGCTTCTGAAAGTAAATTGGTAGGGTCTTGGCAAGTTGTTAACTGATATCCATTCTTCCTCCTCTGCCCACAGCTAGAGTTCCTTCCACAGCCTCCCGGCATCTGGAAGGAACCATGTGAAGGATCCCCATGAGAGGATGATGAGAAATACGTGTGCTCTCACTGGGCTGAGGAGACAAGGAATGGGTGTGCTTTCTCCGAATGCCCTTTTCCCTGCCTTCCAGATCAGAGGACCCAGAGCATGGCCCTCAAGACCTGGGGAGGTTGGAGCCTCAACAGGGAAGGACTCATTCCTGGTACCTATGGGGATCCCCATCTCAGCAGTCTGGTGAACAAAAAAAAACAAAACTTCGGGCCTCCCTGGTGGTGCAAGGGGTTAAGATGCAACCTTTGAAGCTGTCCATAGTCTCTGCAGCACTAGTTCGATCCCCCTGCCAGGGAGAAACCACATGGTGCAGCAGACCTCTCCTGGCACGCCCACTGCTCCCCTCAGCAATGCATTTTAGTCAGTCTGCCTGTTCTCTTCCCCACTCTGTCTCTGGTGAATCCTCTCACCCCCGACACCTCTGGCCTGTACCCCAGTTCTTTTATGCATAAATAAATAAATCTTTAAAAAAAAACAAACTTCAACCCACTTTGTTACTGAGATTTTTAGGCTGGTTGCTACAACAGCTGCCATCAATTATCCTGAGGGGGGAAAAATCATTATGAGAATTATAGACAAAGCTATTGATCATAGGTATACTTTTAAACAACAAAATAATTAAAATTAACTGTCCAAAGGTAGGGAATTGATTAAATTATGGTCCATGATAACTATTAAGACACCTGCCTTTAAAAATAACACCTAACAAAATGGAGATACTGCATAAATTTAAGTAAATTTAATTTAAATTTTTTTCTTACTGCAAAGTCTGGCAACCAAAAAGTAACTGTAAAATAACTCAAATTTTTCCTTAGAGACTTTAAAGGGGATTTATAGACCCCAGAATTTTTAATTCTCCGTTTTCTTTGACCACTCTTCTTACCACAATAGCTACTCCCATACTTCCTCTTAAGGAATTCTCACACCTATTCTCCTCTGCCAGTCCACTCACCTCTAGTCCTCCCCTTCCTCCTCTTGCCCCAGTTCTGCACCCCATACCTAAAAGACAGGTCTACCAAGGCAGGAAAAGAAGAAAGAGCAGCCACACATCAGCAATGTTCACTCATCACACACGCTTGTAACAGAAGGAACTTCATTTTTTTTACATTTTTCCAAAATCACAGTCTTGCTCAGCTCTACCCTAGGGTCAAAGGGATTTGTCTCTTGTCATTAGAGAAAAATGAAGGAGTTCTCCATTGCCAGTTAAAGTTGTAAAGATGTCTTTAATGAATTTCAGGCAGGCAGGAACAGAATGTATAGTCTCATAAAGGCCTCAAATATGACATGGAAAGACAAAGGGTCAAAGTTATATTAAAATGAAGAATCAGAAATTTATAGGGACTAGTAATTTCCATGAGAGTGGGATGAATTTTAGTTTTGATATTATGGAAGAAAGTCAGCAGCAGCCAAGGTTGGAATCCCCTCCCCAAAACCAGCCACCTATCTGTACATATCCTATTGTCTGCCCTACAACCCATGCAGAGAATTTCCCTCTGTCTTATGGGAGGGTGCCTTGAGTTATTCCAACTTCTGGAGCAGAGGTAAGTGGAAGAGTTACACACAATTAAGATGATAGATTAAATATGAAAATGTGAAGACATAAGAAAGGATCTGAGGAAAAAGCATTGGATTATTTGATAGGGAGGGAAGTTACATCCTGGAGACCACAACATTGAAGGGATTAAAGAAAATGAGTATACAAAGTGAAAGAGTAAGAAAAAAGTTAGGAAGAAGCATATCATATGGGATATCACACATCACCACCACACCAAAAATTCCTAGATAATCTGCATTGGGTCTAAAAGAGTGAGATAGTTTGATCAGGGATACAAGACTGAGCCAACTAACTGAAGTCTTTAATGAAATATTGCATAAACTTTCCCTGGATCTTATATACATCCAGATTTAGGAAAATGGCAACCAATTGGTTTAGAGTCATCAACAGATAATAATGCCATCTTCATTTTGGGTACTGTGTGGCAAGAACAATTTTCTGGAAGACAACAAATGCAACTGACGTAATTTCCCCTTCCTAATACACAGGGGAGTAACTAAAGTCATACTTTATGGGACATCTTATTTCCCTATGAAGGAAATGGCCCATCAGAAAGCCGTGTGTGTGTGTGTGTGTGTGTGTGTGTGTGTGTGTGTGTGTGTGTTTACATAGTTATCTAGTGTGCTATAAAAAAGCAAACTCACTAAAGGGGCCCTCCCTGGTGGACAGGGGTTAAAGTCTCAGCGCTATCAAGCTATCACCAGCCTCTGCGGCATGAGTTCAATCTCCAGCTAGGGAGCTAATCCACATGGTGCAGCAGACCTCTCCTGTCTCTCCCCTCACCTGTGTGTTTCAGTAGATCCTCCTGTTCTGCTCCCCACTCTGTCTCTGGTGAATCCTCTCACCCCACCCCTGCACCTATGGCCTATACCCCGGTTCTTGTATGCATAAATAAATCTTTAAAAAAAAGCAAACTCAACAAAATACTAAAAGTGATTACCTCCTATGTGATGAGATTAAGGATGAAATTTGTTTTCATTTTAATTTCCCAGTATTTTTAAATTCCCTACAATGAGAATAAATTATTTCATAAATAGGCCAAAATAAACATCATTTATAAAATAAAACCTCTGTAATTCAATTACAAATAAACATCTCCTAAGCAGGTAGCATCCACAAGAAATTGGACTTTTTTTCCCTCAAATGAAAAGAAGAGTAGACACTTACGCCAGAGGTAATAATGCCACTTGTGGACATGACTGATTTTTAGAACATCCCAAGTCCACTAACTCCCTGGAAAACAGGAAGTTGGTGAATATACCAATTTTAGAGACAAATAGCAGGGTTTGAAAGTCATCTCATCTCTTAGTAAGGGATCCCAACTGGATTCCAAAATTTAAGGTGCTGGTGATCAGAGCTTCCTGGAGAGGGAAGCTCCATCTGTAATACACACACAAACCCACAAATCCTGCCTACCTGCATATGCCATTTATATAGTCTTAACTGTCTGAATCTAGAACTTAAGCACAATTTATGCAACCAAACAGTTGTGATATTCATGCTCCTCTTCATTCTCTTCCAACAGGGAGTATATAAGGGAGCCATCTTTAGATGGTCCATGCAGAGATCTGGGGTGTGCCACTTGGGGTGAGTTAGCTGTTTCATTCCATTAGATGCATGACATTTTTATGAGATTGCATGTCTTCTCCAGTCAAGAGCTCATA